TAGTAGTTAAGGAGAGACAGAAAGATAAACGTGAGGACAGAAACAAAGAAAGAAAAGACAAAACCAATGAAAATGAGGGTAAAGGGAAAGGTAGAAAAAACAAGAACAAGTTCCTAGATGTTTATTATAGCAGGCCCTGAATAAGTTTAACAAAATTCATTAGGGCATTTCCACCTTTCAGTACCTTTTGAAATGCCAATTAGCAAATTAGTTACTGTTAAGATGCTCTAACTACAATAACACCTAAGTTGAAGCTCTAGGCTTAAAACCAGACCTAAGCCACTGATTCTCCTCCCAACCAAGCATCAAGGGGCCCCAACCAATTAGGCATAAAAAACCATTGAGTAGAAAAATCATCTCAAAGCAGATAATCCAATATGTCAGCATCACCAGCTTCATTTAAAAAAAGCAAATTCACTTAAAAAACCAACAATCACAAGTTTAGTGTGGTTTCTCAGATGTATTCCTTTGAAGTCCCTCCCCACTTAATCATTAAAATATAACCCAGAGTCCAAAATTAGTGCCAAAGGAAGAATAAAATGGTTGGTACCACAATGCAGCGTTTCCTATGTGCCTCTGAGATTTATTTCTAGGCCTCATTTCCTCATTTGTAAAATGAGGATGCTGGACAAGGTCAGTGGCTCCCAAAATGTCAAACCTGCTGTATCACAAATCATTTAAAGAACATGTTATAAATTCTGATTCCTATTTCAGACCCACTGAACCAGAAACTTTGGGTTATTAACAGGTTCTTCAGGTGATTCTCTCTACAGACAGGTTAGAAACCATCAGACTAAATGATATTTAAGTTCCCATCCTGTTTTACACTAGAACCATAAACAGTTTTTTCTGTTGTTGTTGTTTGTTTATTTTAAGAGACAGGGTTTTACTTTGTCATTCAGGCTTGACTATAGTGGTGTGAGTTCACTGTAATCTAAAAATCCTGGGCTCAATCGATCCTCCCACCTCAGTCTCCTGAGTAGCCAGGACTATAGGCATGTGCCACCATGCCCAGTTCATCGCTAATTTTTTTTGGTAGTGATGGGGTCTTGCTATGTTGCCCAGGCTGGTCCTGAACTCCTGGCCTCAAGGGTTCCTCCTGCCTCAGCCTCCCAAAGTGCTGGGATTATAGGTTAGCCACCATGCCTGGCCCTGAGCATTTTATTTATTGTGTGTAATCTCATTTTTTGCTGTGCCCTGATTGAAGGTATACTAATAACAGCCTTGTAAGACATACTTATTACCATCACTGTTCTAAAGATTAAGAAATTCTGAAAAGTGAACTGCCCAACATCACAAAATTAACGGATGAGCCAACGATCAAACCCACATAGTCCATTTTATTTCAAGTAACAATTTATTCTATGGTTTTAATATTATTCTGTATAGTAATTAAAACACTGATTATTTTAAACAGGGAAAATTTTCAGGTGTCTGTTTTAGTGAATGACTACTAAAATTAAGTTGTGCAGAGGAAGGTATGGCACAGGTGGAAAGGCAAAATAAGGTTTACCTTATGTCACCTCAGAAACTACAACACAGACAGAAAATACCCACCTTAACTGTACCATCATCACTGCCAGTGCAGACAAGCTGGGGGCCCCTCCTAGCTGGATAACAGGAATTCACAAAGGACGTATGTCCCTTTAGCCTTTTAACTCTCTCTCCTGTTTCACTATCCCACACTGCCACAGTTTTATCTGTGGATGCTGAGAAGAGCATACTAGAAAGAGGAAGAACAAAAAAGAAATAAGCAAAGACGAACAATAACAATGTGTCTTTCCTACTTGGCCAAAATGTGCCAAATTCTTCAAGATCACTGACCTGTTGTGCTCTGCCAGTTTGGCCCATGATGCTGGAATGCCTTACCCTTCCTATCAAAATTCTACTTGTGCTCTAGGCCCAGTTATAAGGTCTACCCTGTGAAGTCTGAAATTAAATTAATTAACTTAATGTAACCAAATTTTCATATTATCTATAGATATTCTAAAATTTTATAGTCATTAAAATAATGTTTATGATAATGGATGTCAGCTAAACAATGTTTTTTTTTTTAAAATTGGGCAGCCCTCACAACCAGAAAAGGTTCAGTGAACACTCTAAACAATATTCAGAGAAAAAAGCAGCAGACAAGATCGTACATCTCATTCTTTTTTTTTGAGACAGTCTCACTCTATTGCCCGGGCTAGAGTGACATGGCGTCAGCCTAGCTCACAGCAACCTCAAACTCCTGGGCTCAAGCAATCCTCCTACCTCGGCCTCCTGAGTAGCTGGGACTACAGGCATGTGCCACCATGCCCGGCTAAATTCTTTCTATTTTTAGTAGAGACGGGGTCTCGTTCTTGCTCAGGCTGGTCTCAAACTCCTGAGCTCAAACGATCCACCAGCCTCGGACTCCCAGAGTGCTAGGATTACAGGCACCACGTCCGTACATCTAATTCTAATAAATATGTAAAAACCTAAATAGTTTTGAGTAGAAAAAAGGTGTTAGAAAAATATAAAATTAACAGTGATTACCTTTGGAGTGGTAGGGATGTGGTCTTTTTTTCCTCTCTCTACTTTTTTGGGTTCCTCGAAATTATTTTATTACATTTATAATACAAATAGCTAACTTCTACATGTAAAAAATTACATTTTGCTTTACATCTTAAGAAAACAAATTTGTCTCAGCTGTTGAAATGTTAGGTGACAGAGATGATATATTTGCCTGCACAGACAATAAACACCCACTTGGGGTAGCAGTGATAAGGATAATAAAGTGGCTACCCAAATGCAGTAGTTTTTGACAGCAACATTTCCTGAAAGAGCAAAATCAAGGTTGAAAGGTGAAAGGATGCTAAGAACTAGTACGAGAAGAAGCTGTCATTCCATTATGCAGGATACTCACCTGCCATCTGTGTTATAATGCAGTTCCATCACTGCTCCACTGTGTCCCTTCAATGTGGCATAATTATCACAGTCACCATAGACATTCCACAACACTGTTAGGGAGACAGGGGTTCTGTGAGCATTACCAGGCAAAAGAAAACTCATTACTGGCTGTGGAAAGGGTACTTACGAATTTACCAGAACAACAGTTCTCAAATTATACTACCTTGGAACACTACTGGTTGTACCAAGTGGACTAATTTTTCTGATGCAAAAATAAAAATAATGGCAATATTTTTACAATTCATAAGGTAAAAAAAAATTGATGGATGTAATTTCTTCAAATCTTAACTTTTTTTCTCCTGTAATTTAAAAAGAGTTGGCACCTACTACTTGTCTGCACTAAGTCTGTAAGTAGACTACAAAATGATGGCACTTACAGAAAACCTAGGAAGCTACAACTTAAAGGTCACATGGCAATGACTTTATACTACATTTATTCATTCCACATGTACTAAGAACCTACTACACGCCAGGTGCTGGGATAAATGAGTAGACAGAGGTCCTATCTGCAGGGAACATGGTCTAGCACACAGTGAAGTCTGATAAGCGTTATTAAGGATCACTTATTTATATGTAAGATGTACATATAGACAATAGTTATTTTTCTGCTGAGAACATTGTAGTTTGTTTGATGAAATTAATAACTCATATATTCTGCAAAGATCTCTAAGCCTTCCAGATGCTTGGCCACTTACAAGCTTAAGGATCATAGAGCTAGAACATCTAAATCAAAATGGGCACTGAAGACAGACAGCATCCACCTTGAGGTTCAGAGAAGAGCCAAAGAATTCATTTCATCTCATAATCAGCAAATGAAACCAGAAGAAAAAAAAGTCAGAAGCTTCTGTTAGCTCCTTTCTTGCCTTTTCTCATGACTCTCCCAAAATGACTTTTTCTACTCATTTCTCAAAAATGAGTATTCCTGACTTAGATAGCTGAGACTCTGGTAGCAGATTCTAATAATATACAGATAGATTATTTAAGTGAGTTACCATTTTAGGATCCCCTCTTTCCTTCCCATATGCTAGGATCCTGGGAGTGGATCAAGAGGAGGATCTCATACTTTTGGGAAAAGAAAGGTTATCTCTGTCATTACTCCCATTAACCTTTTAAGCCTAGAATGCTAAGTGTCTTGCTAAACCAGCTCAAGATTTGCCTCCGTGAGGAAGATATTTTCAAACTAGAGCAACTCATGTTCCAATCAGTAAAATTCCTTCCTTCTTCATTTACTACATAGACACCAAGTTCTACACCCCAGATCATTTAGCATTTTCATGCCCCTATTTTAGCATGTTAGCCATGTAGTTTGTTATGTTGGCAACTTAAGGCTGATAACTTCTGTGGCATCCAAGATTTTAAAAAATAATCACTATCCAGGAGAGAACAATTACTCCAGATTAAAAACCACGCCTTACGTATCAGTCGGTCAAATCCTGCAGATGCTAAGGTGGATCCATTGGGGTGAAACTTGCAGCAGTATACTTCTCCTTCATGTCCTGAGAGCAGCATGATTGGGGCTTGAAGGGAGGAACACCTTGGAGGCCCCTAGACAGAAGAGAAGTACAGGGTAGCCATTGTATACAGGCAAAGGAGGCTGCAAAATTGGGGGGTGGGGTGGGGTATGGAGGAAAAAGATCATGGAAACAATGACTGAGCGAATTTCATTTGATTTAGAGAATGGCAGGTGTTCTCCATTCTCTAAATCTAATCTGCCTCCAATTTGACACTGTCCTCAACTTTCCAGGATCTACTGTTATATCAGCTCTCCTCCTCCCTCTCTGTTGTTCTTATCTCACAGCCAACTTTTGATTGGTCAAACTTGTTGAACTAATTTCTGCCTCAGGATCTTCATACTTACAGTTGCCCCTGACAGGAATCCTTTCCTCCTAGATTTGGCTTCTTTCAAATATTCCCTCTTCAGAAAGTCTTGCCTTGATCACTCAAACTCAGTAAGCATCCCACCTACTCCCCTGTAGTCCACTAACTCCACTGTATTCCTCCATAGTACTTATCACTATCTGAAATTACCTTCCTCGTGTACTTGCTTACACAGTTTGTCTTTTTCCCCAGGGAATTGACACTTTATGAGTGCAGGGATCCTGCCTACACCATCCAACACTGTCATCCCAGTCTCTGGCTCATTTACTGAATGACTGAACTGACCTTCCCAACAATCCTGCATGGTACAGACTATTGGGCAAAGTGGTTTTAATTATGATCTTGGACACTTAGTCTACATTTGGGCAATTCGCCTAAGCCTGGGCTTATATTCTTACTTGTCAAATAGGAAGAACAAGTATACTAACCATAACACCCAAATCTCTTCAGTAGTTTCCAGCTAATTCATTTATTCAAAAAAATGTTATGTATCAGGTACTGTTTCAGGCACCGGGGAAACAGCGGTCAACAAAATAAACAAGGGAGCTTATATTTCAGTGGGAAACAGGAAAGGAGATAGAAAACATGCAAAATATCTGAATGGTGGTATATGCTATGGAGAAAAACAAAGTAGGAAAATGGGTTTCAGAATACGAGGTATTGCAATTTGAAATAGAGTGGTCAGGAAAGCTCTCACTGAAAAAGTGATATTTGAGCAAAGATTTAAAGGAGCTCAGTGTGTAAACCATGTGGACATTTTGAAGAAGAGCATTCCAGCTGAGGGAGCAGCAAATGCAAAGGCCTTGAGGCAGGAGCATGGCAAACAGTGACTGGAGCCAGGTGAACAATGGAAAATTGTTTTATCAGATGGATAAAGGGAATGAGGGCCAAAAGATTATGAGAATTTTGGTTTTTACTCTGAAGTGGAAAGCCACTGGGAAGTTTTCAACAGAGGGTTATGTGATCTCATGTTTAGAAGTATTCCTCTGGCTGCTAGGTTGATAACAGACCTCAATACAACAGCAGAAAACGAAAAACCAGTTAGGACCCTATTGCAATAATGCCAGATGGGATAATAATGGTTTAGACCATGAGGTAGTGACAGAAATTCTGGATATACTTTGAGACCGGTGCCAGCAGGATTTGTTGAAAGACTGGTTGAGGAGTCGGGAAGAGTTTGTTTTCCCATCTGCAAAATGGGCTAATAACAGCTGCTAACTCTTAGAATATTAATGGAAATTTCATATACAAAGCACTTAGTACAAGGGTCAATGAACGGTAGCTATTATTCAATTATTAATGATACCAGTGCAGAGAAATAAAGGGAAAAGCAACTTGCCCAAGTCCCAAAGCGAGCCAATATCATTCATTTCCCTTCTTCCTCCTCTCATTCATTCATTCACTCTACAAACTTTTCTAAATGTTTATTCTGTGCTGGATCCATGGAAGATTTAGGATGCGTGAGCCCGATCTCGGTTTTGAGCCGAAGGTTCTTAACTCGAATTCTGTTGCTACCTCACAGGGCAGTCGAGAGGATGAAAACCGGCGCCAAACAGGGAAACATGTACGGAGCATCCGCAAGACATCGGGCACTTTTATAGTGTTTATCTGCTTTAAATCCAGGTAAGTATTCTCGTTCCGCCCAGGCAATGCGGGAATGGGCCAGTGCCGGATCATCTATCTGATAAGCGCTCTGAGGGGAGAGGAAGATGAGCTGAGGGCCCAACGTGGCCAGCTTCTTCACTTACCGCTTGCAGCAAAGCTCCCGGCGTCGCCTGCTGCTGCCCCGCGCCCGGGCCCGACCCCGCCGCTCCCAACAGCAACTCATGCCGCTGCCGCTTAACTGGGACCAGCGGCAACTCTGGGCCCTTACGCTTCTGCTGTTCTATCATGGCGGTAACCGCTCTCTTCAGCGCCGCCACGGACCGCGCCGACACCCTCAGGCGCCACGCAATTGGTTCCAACTTAGTTCTTCCTCCATAACTTCCGGCTTGGAGAGCCCAATCGACTTTCAATATTTCCCTCTGCACCGCCCTCTGGATAGTCTCTTGTTATTGGTCTTCTCTTGCTCACGTCAGGAGAGTGCGATTCCAGGATTGGTGGACGGAGCTGGCGTCCCTCCTAGGCGCGCTGGGTCTTGTGGGTGGAATCGTACTGACTGGGTTTGGCTTTTGCACGATGCTGCGGCTGGGAGACCTGGAGCTGACGCCGCGTAAGTGTGAGGAAGAGAGGGGGTGGTTGGCTGCATGCATCTGGAGGCGACCCCTTGGTTGTGCAGTCTGAGCCTTCCTTTCTCAGCTGAATGTGCTGATAGCAAGGGGCGGGAAACGGGCTTCGTGTCCCCAGATCGGGTATGTAGTAGCCTGGGTTCCCTTTCCGGGCAGGAGCACAGCTTTGGGGTCTCTGGCGGCAGGACTCAGCCCTTGCGGCCGCCTGGGGCCCTTGGCGGTTCTCTTCAACAAGCGTTTGATGTATCCAGCCCTCTGCCAGGCCTTCCCAGGGAGAAAGGCCTGTCTCCCAGCCTCTACCAGTGCCCCGATTGGCTGAGGAGGCCGACTTGTTTGTGTCACTGATTCTGCAGTCTTTTATAAGGACCTACTCTATGCCCCTGAGAGAGACTGTGATGAAGGAAACGTCCAATTCCTTCTCCAGAGCACAGTCTTGTTGAGAAATTTGAGACTCATCCACGTGAGCCAGATCTTTTCCTCAATCGTCCGACTAATATTTATTGCGCAGAAGGTTGGGGATACGTTGTGAACCAAACATGGTCCCTGATCTCAGGGGGTTTGAGTCTGGTGGGGAAAACGTGTTAAACTATGATGTCACTAATAAATGGAAGAGCCCCCTAGGAGAGATACCTGATGCTATGAGTGCTTGAAATAAGCAGGAAGGTTTTTCTGAGAAAAAGATGCCTGAGCTGATATCTGAAGGAAGAATTCTAATTTATTAGGTGAAGAGGTGAAGGCAGAGCATTCCATAGAGAACAGCATGTTTAGAGACTCTGTGCAGTTGGGAGAAAAATGACTAAAATGTCACAAAGAGCCAGTGTGGCTGCTACAAAGAGAATGAGGGGGAGTATGGTACAAGACGAAGCTGGATGCAATACAGGTCAGACCTGACAGGAATTTGTAGCTTTTGCTTTAAAACTGATGGGACACCACTGAAGCCCCCTTGCCCTTGGGGTGTGATAGAGGAGGGGTCTTGATCCCTCCTAAACAGACGGGTGGGGAGAGCCCTAGTGGATGCAGATAGACCACTTAGGAGGATGTGCAGTAATCCTAGTCAGAGATGTCAACAAGGATGTTGGTGGAACAGCAGATAATTGGACAGATTCTAGGGAAATATAGGAAGTAAAATGCGTAGGACTTGGTATGGATTGGATTCAAGGAGTGAAGAGAGAGAAATCAAGGATAACTCCTAGGTTTCTATCTTATGTATTGGCTTTGTGGTTTTGGAGTTTTTTGTGGTGTGTGTTTGGGGGTCATTTGTGGCATACAAGAAGCAGGTTGAAATATAGCTTTGATGCTCAGAAGAGACATTTTTGTTGGAAATATAAATTTGGGGACAATTTGCATATATAGGTAGGTGGGGGTAAGGTCACCTAAGTCAGAACCTTGAATAGGTCCAACATTTAATGGGAAACAACAGGTGGATGAACCTACAGAAGAAACAGAAGAGCTAGGGAATAGGACTGGAGGAATGTCTCAGAAGCAAAAGAATTGTCTGTGATAGAAACTCCTGGAATTTAAATAACTTGAGGATTGAAAAGTCTCTGTTTGCTTTATTATCATGGAGCTCATGGTAACCTTAGCAAGAATTATTTTGTTGGTGTGATTGGTCCAAAAGCCAGATATGAGGCAAGGACTCGGGCAAGAAAATGGAGGCAGTGAACCTAGACAGTATTTTTCATAGATATGTTGTAAAGAAGAAGAGAGGATGTGGTAGCTGATGGGGATGAAGGGTTGTCTAGGATCCACTTGAGAGAACAGTGGAGAAGTTGAATAATATATGAGAAACTGGGTCATCAATAGTATAAAATATCTGAGAACATAGGAATGGATGGGATTCAAAGTATAGATAGAGGGATCAGCCTGAGGAAGATGGACAGTTTCTCCATTAAATAGAAGTGAAGAAGGCTGTAGATAAAGGTTGTTTGTATGTTTGATATTGGTAAGATGAGTTCCTTTCTCATGACTTCTACTTTCTCTGTAAAGTGAGATCATAGAGTGAGAGTTGAGAATATTGCAGATGTGAAAGTCATTGGGGAATGTCGGAGAATGAGTTTACTAGAGAAATGTAATACTGCTGGACAGAGTTAAGGGCCCATTTGAGGATCAAAATTTTTTTCCAGCACATTAGGCACTTTAGTACATACCCATCTAGGTATGACAAGGACTGTGGCTTTGGCTTTGTAGCTTCAAACACACACTGTACCCTCTAATGTGTCCTCTCTTACTGAACAATCTGGAATGCTAAGAACCATTTTCTACACTCCCTTGTACTTTAGAGGAGAACTGAATTTGGAACTGAGTTAAAAGTGGAGAGAAGGAGGGTATGAGGCATCTGGTTTTGCTGGCAAATATTATGGCATAGAGTTTTTCCAGTCAATAGCTTCCTGGTTTGGTGACCAGTGGAAGCCATAACTTTCTTGGATTATGGCAAAGGCAGTGTTATTTTGTGGGTTAGGAGTTGTTCCTGGATGTTCTGCCAAAGTCTGTTACTATAGTGCTTCCAATAATTTTGGAAACCACATAATACCTGGCAATAAATCCCTTTCTGCATAAGCTAACTACAGTGGGTTCTGTTGTCTGCAACTATCCTCCACCAGGGTAGAGGTATTGCCAGAGAGGTAAGCTATAAAGACAGAGTTGAAGGGAACTTTAGGGTATTATTGGAATGATGGATTATGGAATCTAAGCTGAATTAGAAAAGTGAAGAAAAAGGGGAGGGCTGATAGATTGGAAGAAAAAAGAGGCCAATAGATCAGGGTTCTGATGAGATCAAAGAACCGTATTCTCTGTTAGAAGACTTCTGTTTATCCTAAGGCCTACTTAGTTGTCATCTCTTAAACTTCCTGGCTTGACACTGTAGTGTAATTGGTCACCATTATCCCCTACCAGAACAGGAAGTCTTTTTTTTTTTTCCCAGACAGAGTCTCACTGTGTTGCCCTGGCTAGAGTGCCGTGGTGTCATCCTAGCTCACAGCAACCTCAAACTCCTGGGCTCAAATGATCCTACTGCCTCAGCCTCCCAAGTAGCTGGGACTACAGGCATGCGCCACTATGCCCGACTAATTTCTTCTATATATTTTTAGTTGTCCGATTAATTTCTTTCTATTTTTAGTAGAGACGGGGGTCTCGCTCTTGCTCAGGCTGGTTTCGAACTCCTGAGCTCAAACAATCCGCCCGCCTTGGCCTCCCAGAGTGCTAGGATTAC